TAATTTAACAAGACTCTCCTTGGTAAACTCATGTGGCCAGCTAGCAACATCCACGCTCTCTTCTAAAACCAACACAAACCATCTGTTCCCCATCTCTGCCAGCAAGCAGCCCAAGGCTCACCAGCCCAATAATTAAAATTCACTCTGCTACCACTGCAGAGTCCTTTTGACTTTAAGGCAACATTTGCCTGGCATTAGGCTTAGAACTTGAAAAAAATTCTCCATGGTGTATTGAAAATCGTTTGTATTTTTTAATTCTTTCCACTCCAAGCATTTAGTCCTGAGATGGAAATTCACTTAAAAGGCCTTTCTATTGGTTTCTCCGTGTGTGAGCACCTACTGTGTGGCTGGCTCATTGCCTTGTGTTTATGCTTTCCAGCTCTCCTTGAAGAGGCTGGAAGTAGGTCAGCAGCTGACCTCTGTTGACTTTGTATCATCAACCTCAACAAGTACATCCTTCTCCTGAACATGGCTTTTAAAGCCTGTAGCTATTGCTGGTGCTCTGTTATTTTATTTTCGTGAAAAAAAAATATGTAACAAGAACATGCTGTTAAACGGTTTGCAAGTGTGCAACTTCATGACAGTTTTACACACTGCTTCTTAAGCAAGTGCTGAACTACTCCTCATGGAAGTTGAACAATTTTATAATCCCATCTGCAATGTTTAAAGGTCTTAGTTTTTTTTCTTTTTTGTGTGCAGTCTATGTATGCACATGTGTACACCCATGTGCATGCATGTATAGGGTTAGAGGTTGACATCAGGAGCCTTCCTGGTCCTGGGATACAGGCACACATCACCATGCCCAGCTTTTCATATGGGTGCTAGGGATCCAAACTCGGCTCCTTACACATGTGCAGCAAGCTCTTTATGCACTGAGCCATCTCCCCAGCCCCATTTCTCTTCTCAATAGCATTTAGATCATTCTAGACTTTAGTTTCCCTCATAATATTCTTACAATTTTTATTAAGCTGTTCTTTTTCTAATGATTTTGAAGACAGAATTCAACAGAATTTTCTCTAAATGCCACAGCCTGCCATGGTACAGAATATGAATTTCCACCCTCTACTCCTGTGATGAAGAGAACGGGTTCTGTAGTCAGATACCTGGATGTAATTCCCACTTCCCTCTCTCCAGTATGCACTCTGTTAACCAGGGTTAACCAATGTATTCGTTTCCTATGGTTGTGTTAACCTGTTAGTGGCTTAAAACAACACAAATTTATTATCTTCTAATTCTGGAGATCGGGACTCCAGGCAGGTCTGCAGGTTGTTAGCAGAGCTGGTTCCCATTGGAGGTTCTGGGAAAAACTGGTTTGATGATCTCTTTCAGCTGCTGGAGGCCACTTGGACTCCCTGACTCGTGGCCCCATTTCTATCCTCAAAGCCAGCCAAAGGCCAGATGAGGGTGACATCACATCACCTGCTCTGATCATCCTGCCTCCCTCTTCTACTTTCAGGGGCTCTGCGAGTACAGTGGCTGTTATCTCTTTTAAAGCCTCGCTCATAAGCAATGTCAAAGCCTCCTTGTGATGATAGAACTATACATACTCACAGGCATGGGGATAGGAGGTGGACATCTTTGCAGGAGGATGTTGTTGTTTACTACAAACAAGATGGTAATGTCTTCCTCATAAAGTTATTACAAGGATTATTTTTCTTCTTCCTTTCCTTTTACATTTTTCAGTATTGGAGACTGAACCTAGGGCCTCATACATGCTAGGCAGGTGCTCTATCACTGAGCTGGGAAAACTAGTTTGACGATCTCTTTCAGCTGTGACCCTGATTATTCATATTTCTGATTCTTTTCCTTGAGCTCTAGTTCTGAACACTAAAACTCATTCAAAAGGTTATCTATACTCATGTGTTCAACATACACTTACTAATAGCTTTTTTTTTTTCCCCTTTCTTGTGCTGGGGATCAAACTCGGGGCCTTGTGTATGTTAGGCAAAAGCTCTACCATTGAGCTACATCCTCAGCTTTTGGTTTTTGAAAGGGTCTTTCTATATAGCTCAAGCTGGCCTCAAACTTGTAATTCACTTGTCCTCCCCCAACAAAATGCTGAGATTTCAGGTACACATCACCACATCTGGCTAGCCCGTTGAATACGGAGCTAATGAAGCGAAACATAGCAAGTCCTTTGGCACCAGAAAGCACCCAGTCAACATGGCTCATCATTTCCTGATGTTCATTACTTCCTCATCCCTTTGGCAATATCCTAATCACAGGTGCCAGCTCAGGCGAGAGCTTCACTTTCTCGGTCTCTAAGAGGCTGTGACCTGTGTCAGGGAATGGCCTTTTTTTATTTTTCAGCCTTCCCTAGTTCTGGAGGCCTGCAGCTAGACTCTGTTTCTCTGCATGTCTTCCTATGCAAAGCCCTCTCACAGAAATCACCGATTCTACACAGATGAACATGCTTTTTACCAAATAGAAACCTGCCATGGCACCCATGTGGTCTATCTGAGGTGCCAAATCCACCTTAGAGGCCAGCTGGGGTTCATCCAATATCACAGAGGGACCCGATTCCTCAGTAGGGAGCACAGAGCCACCTTGAACCTGTAGGTTTATTTCTCAGCAGCCTCTTTGATACTATCAGTCATGAGGCCGTTTAGTTCTCTTCACCTGTTTTGCTTTTCCAGGGCTATGATACTGTGTCTCCTTACTGGTTCTCAATTTTAGGGTACCTTTCCCCACTTTCTGTCTCAAGATTGTGCTTCCAACTCATGGTTAGGTCAGAGTTTCATGTCAATGCTCCCTGTTCATTTTGTGAGCTATTCTCTGGTCCCCAGTGAGATGCCAACTATCCTCAACAGTGGGACCTCTATCACACTGTCAGAAGTCTAGGGGACAAGGAAGCCTCCTCACTGGGGTCTTTAGGGCAGAAGGGCCAAGAGCCCTGGGTTTGTCCTGTAGATGGAGATGTTGGCTGTGTTGGAAAGCAATTACAAGAAATCTGGGAGTTATGCCCAGCTGTGAGCAGGCATGTGCCATGCTGGAGCAGCAACAGAACCAGCTCGGGCTGGAGGGAACCTGAGGGGTCCCAGAAGCCACACACTCACCTCCCACTCCTGAGGCAAGGCATCAGAGACCTTAGCCATCACACAGACCCTCCCTTGGGGAACATAACTGGGGCCTCTACCTACTAGAGCTGGGCCTGCAGCTCACCTAAATGGCAGGAGATTCCACTGTGCTGTTGGCAGCCCGCAGGCAAAGCTGTAGCTCTCCTTTCTGAAGGGCTGGGCCACATCTTCCCATTCAGCTCCTGACCACAGTTTCCTTCTGTCACCTCAGAAATACCATTTTCTTCCTTTTCCTCAATTCTTGCTAATAAATCCCAGGTGGAAGGTGAGCTTCTCTGGCCCTTTCACACCCTGCCTTGGGGCAGGTAGAGCCTGACTATACAGCCCATGGTCCTCACAGCTGTAGTTCCCACCCTAGTACCCAGTCCCGACTCTTTCCAGAAGCTGAGAGCCCCTCATACCCCCTCGTATGTAGCTCCTCATCAAAACTGCTGCCCCTGCAGTCTTGCTGGACTGTAACTGTTCACGCTGTCCCTGGCTGGGGTGTGGGGAGGTAGCTCTGTATTGTATTGAAATCACATTAATCCAATCTTTCATTCGTTACATCCACTCACTACCTAACCATGCCAGGGAATTAATTCTCTGACTCTGTACCCTGGATAGCCAGGACTGGAGGTGGATTTCTTTCGGCTGGGCTCATTTCTTTGGCTTTGTCATTAATTTTTATTTAGGAATTAAAGCCTTTCTGTGTTTATGCTATGGTTAAAGAGATTATAGAAAGAAAAAAGCCTTTACAAATGTAAATAAAGACTAAAAATGACAGTCTTGAAAGTAACAAAAATGGTGATGCAATGAATGTGGCAGAATTTGAATTGACAAGGAGCATCAGAGTAAAAAACAGAAATTTAGTGTATTCCAGTTAACAAATAGCTGATGAACTTTAACAGAAAACGCTATACTCAAAATATATAAAAATTATTTGGAGGCCTTGATTTTGCTATCCTGAAACCCTCACAATTGTTATAAAATTATGTTCTTTGTCCTGATAAGGCTTAAAAAAAATAGGTCTAAATGTCAAGAAAACCGGCCTTTTAAAAACTCAATCATTACTGTTATTATATAGGATATAAAGTATATTTTCCACTGCCAGAACCACGTGACCACTGGATTTAATGGAGTCTCAATGATAGAGTTCTCAACAACGCTGATTTTGTAAGAACAGGAGAGTACTAGTAGGGTTTTGTGGTTTTCTAGAAATCAGATCGAACACACTGGGCTTGGCAGCAGGACTTCTGCTCTAAGACAGCATATCAGCTGGCGGGTACCGTCCCTGAGGGTCAGGGAACTCAGGAGGCCAGAGGTCTCAGAGCTGTGTTTCTGTAGCCACTGGACTCAGATGAACAGACTTAACCATTCAATCCCAAGCATGGTGATAACAATGACTATAATCTATGTATTCTCTTGGAGAGTGTGAATATCAAGGACATCAAGCTCAACTACAATTATTATTTAATGGTGCTTCTCAAAAGGGATAGAGAAAGCAAGCTCTCCATCAGATGTCTGCAGGCCCAGGGCCCTGAACCAGACTTTGGAAAGAGCATCTGGCAAAATCTAGATTCACTCTTCTAAAAAGAGTGCCCAAAGCCAAGTTCAGCCAGACAGTGTGGGTGAAAAATGAAAACAAACCCAACAAAGCAGAGAAACAAAGCAAAAGCAACTTTTTTTGTTCAAAGTTTTCTGCTAAAAAAAAAACCCAAAAAAACAAAAAAAACATTGCTTGCACGCTATCAAAATTTCAGCTTGTTGCTGGTCTAAAGCTCTTGAGAAGCCTGAAGCACACTGGCTCTCCTTTTGGTGATTCCAGAGTGGGGGTGGTTCCAGAGTGGGGGTGGCGCTATCTAGGAAGTAACCCTGCTCAGCTCTGGCCATCAAATGGCCCCTCCCTCCCCGGCCCTGGCCAGCAGCTTCGTGCTGATTTGGTACCTGCCATTCCTGGTATCATGCTGCCGCATGTTCTTGATGAAATGAATCTTCTTAAAATTCTTTGGTCTGGGTGAACCTGAGAGAGTTCGACATCTGAAAAAGAAAAAGAGTCATTTCAAAAACACAATCAGATGCCTGCTGGACAGCTGAGACATCTCCACACAAAGACAGGAAGGAAAACACCAGACAAATGGTTAGAGTCACCCACAGCAGGCAGGAGGAGTCTGCAGACAATGAAAACAACGCAGCAGAGAGGAAGCTTTAAAATCCCAATGACAGACAACTTCCTTGATAATACCGATAATATTTTATGAGTCTCCAAAAGGCCAGCTTATGAAAATTATGGTCCCCAGTTATAATAACATGACCTAACCAGATTCCAAGGACATTATTCTTCATTGCCATGTTACAAAGAAAGACCCTGAATCAACATAGGTAAAAAGAGCAGAAAGTTGTAATTTAAAGGATTTGGGGCTTGGGGAATAACATGGAAAATTCAGTTCAAAAACAACCCAGAATCATTTTTCTTCTGTAACAGGAATTTGGCCTGAATTACCTGGACAGTTGCCCCAAATGCTGACTCTGCCTGAGAAGTCACAGCTTAAATTTGAATGAGAATTGGAGACCCAGCTAGCTGTTGTTTCATTTTATTACTTCAGAATAAATTCTAAATAAACACCTACTGAACCAAAGTGACCTGGCTTCAGTTTTTTCTCTCTCGGAATAGGCAGTACTTGCTTATGCTGTTGTTTTGATAAATCACAAGCTGAAGAAATTTTACTTGTGTGGAGCACTTTTTGAAGTTTCCTGGTAAATTCTAGCTTACAAAAACTACACAGGCATCATTACCACTGAAGCAAAAATCCCAACAAGCAGAGTGTAGTGTGGTCTTTTTTTGACAAAGGGAGTTGTGACATTTCTATTTAAAACCTTTCTGATCATGGGCTCCTGCCATGGGATGTGGATACCTATGATCTCATATTCTGAAAAGCACATTCCAGAAAAGCAGTACCCAGGCTCCCAAAGCCTACACTGAGCTCTGGGCTGGGATGTCATCTGAATGCAGTCAGTTCTACCTGAGAGGCTTCAGGCAAAGGTAATGACTCAGTGGAGGTGAAGTTATAAGAGGGGCAAGGGGCACATGTGGGAACTAGACTGGGGAACAGGTGGGCTTATGGAACTATAAGGAAATCCCAATCTTGACTCTCCCCAGAGCACTCTCCAGGTGGGGGCAGGCCTGATATACCCCCCCATCTACCCTTGTAGTAGAGGCTAGCCTTTTTGGAAGCCCTTTCCTAGAGTACAGAACACAATGTATTATCTAAAGGAAAGAGTACCCTAAATCATAACATCACCGGATGAATCCTAATGAAGTGAGTGAATGTGAGCATACGCAAAGGCATGCTATCAGATGAGTATTTGGTGGCTTTCACTGGGAAAAGTTCTTCAACGGGCTGTGGGTCCAGAAGAGGAAAGCCCCACTTCTGATCACTGTCCATTACAGTGGAGCCAGAAGCATCAGAGGCCCACAGCCCTCCTAAATCGCTGCAGCCTTCACAGTTGGCCACTTAAGGCTCCCAACTGACTATTAACATTCCCAATCCTTCACGCTGCTACTGCGAGGCCTAAATGACACTGTACATACATGAGTTTCACACACTGCCAAGTGACTTATTCAAGTGAATGTATCTATACACACATGCATACACTTGTTCATATGAAAACTTTGAGTGTTAGTATTAATAGGCCGTAAGCTCCAAAGGGGGCATTGTGATTCCCAGTCCCTCCAGTCTCAAAACAGCAGCCCTCCTTCATGAAAGGTTCTACATTCTTAGTTCTAAATGAAGATTCTTTTGAAGGCTTATAGAGCACTTCCTGAAGGGATTGTGCAAAACAGAACAATAGATGGGGTTCCTTAGCTTCATTCCCAACACACACACACACACACACACACACACACACACACACACACACTTTCAAACCCAGATTGTCAGTCTGGCCTTCCTCTGCCTTCTGGGGGACTGCTCTCTGGAAACAGACCCAGAACCCCAAGTTGCCCTCATTCTGGCTCCAGAATGACTGCTTTAGTCTAGAAGCCACTTAAGCTTTCCAACTGTTTCATACAGAAGGTTCTGGAAACATGGGGCTGCTGGCAAGGAAAGAATCTCCAAAAGCACGAACATAAAGAAAGCTAAGCCTCCAGAGTTTCTGGATGGGCCAAGCAAAGGTTCAGGAATGTCCTCATTGCACACTCTGCCCCCAAACCTGAGTGTCCAGTCAGTCCGAGAGGCAGCAGGCTCGGAGCCAGCCGGGTTGCAGGTAGTGAACTCACAGATCCTGCCACCTCAGGAAGCTCTGACTCTTCCCTTTCCCACCTCTGGGAAGTAGGTATTGATGACGGTTCAGGGAACAACCCCAGGCTGGTCCCTGCCTCTGGGGCCTGCACAGAGGGACCCACACTCCTTGGCCTGCACAGGGACTAGAAACCTGCAAAACAGCCACAGGTGGCTGTGCATGCAAGCCTCGGATGGCGATGACAGTAATAATAACTAACAGCTGTGGGCAGTCTCAGGAACCAGGACAGGCGCTAACGGTTGCTTTATCTGCAGCAGAGAAATCAAGGTTTCTCTTGATACTTGGTAGAGATGTTCAGAAGCCTGGGATACCAGATGACCACCAGGCAGGTGGAAAACTTCTCAAAATCCTCTCGTTCTTGGTGCTCTGGGTGGGCAGAGGAAACACTAACACACGGATGTGCAGGATAAAGGGAGGACTCCTAGCAGGATGATGTCACAGAAGCCCTGTTTTTTAATTTCAGCTCCTAGTTCTAACTGTACACCCTACTAATCTAAGCCCTTTCCTCAGCAAGCTGTTTGTTGTGCTGCTTTTTAAAAAGCATCCAATTAAACCACTAGGGGATCCAAGACATGCTTTAAGAGAACTGTGGCGTTAGCAACAATTGCCACGGAAACTGGAATCCTGGGTCTCAGGATGCAGACTGCAGGTTAAGCAAAGACCAAATTCATTTCAAAGCTGTGTATATTAACATGTAAATACTCATTTAAAAAGATACACTTTAAGTGCTGCAAAATTAAATTAGGATAGAATTAAATTAAAAACTAATTCAATGAAAGATTAGCTCTTTCTTGTTAGCACTGATTACAGGATACACTTAATTATGCTGAAGTTTTCACAGGTACCTTGGAGGCGGCTGTTTTATGTGCTAAGCTTAAAATTAAGTTAGGCTAATGGCCTTCCACCCCCACAGTTCCCAAAACACTTCAGTGTCATTATTGAAACTTTCCTGCTACGGGAAAGTCCTTGTTGCAGTCAAGCTGGACCCTCCCAGTTTTCAGATGGATAAACTGAGGTGCTTCTGATGCTAAGGGAGTCCTAAGCTCCCAAAATAGCACCCCTAGTCCTTTATCACTTTATTTCTTAGGAACAAGCACTTTTCTAAGTAAATATGAGAATGTTTTTGTTATGTTTGCATGTGAGGGAGAAGGAGAAGTGTGTCCACAGCAGGTATGTAGGGGTCAAAGGACAAGCTGTGGGGTCTCTCCTTCCACAAGGGTCCCAAGATCAAACTCAGGGTCATCAGGGCTGGCGGCAAGTGTCCTTACCCACTGAGCCATCTCACCAGCCCTGAGAACTTGAAAAAAAAAAAAAAGGCTGTCTGGAGAAACAAAGACTTTAAAAACATCCTTGATTTCTGATTCTTTTTAAATGTTTATATTTACAGCAGATTATTTGAAATTCAGTGCAGTACTGTTAGATGTGTGTGAACTCATAGTTCAGGTAGAATAAGTTCATCTGCCAGTCTGGCCATAATGTAAGCGGAGGTTTCAGGGCTGACAGGGCACCCACATCCTCCTCAGCTTTCGACCTTCCTGGGGACACAACAGCCCTGTCTTGAACTCCAGTGGGGTGGGGGGAGCATTTTTCACCTCTATCCTGACTGCCCAGAGCCCTTCTGCCCATCATTGCTACACAGTCTTAAACACTGTGGCTTCTCAAAGTCCCTAAGCACCAGGCACTCTTCAGCAATCCTCACTGATTTCCCTGTCAGCCGTAAGCAGGGAAAGAGAGCCTTGGGTAGAGGTGACCTTACTGCTCTGAGGCCAAAGCACTTGTCACCACCTGAGAACATTGCTTCCTGTCCTCCACGCTCTCCAATGATTTGGAGTGAAGCCAGCTGGGACTTAGGTTTTAATGGAGCTGGTGTGTGTGCTTACAGGGAAATGGCTTCTTCTGACATGTAATATTGCCTCATCAAACATTTGTGTCCAAAGCAGCACATGTACCAGCTAGCTCCATGCTATTCATCCCATGGGGCTTCCGGGAACTCTGTATGTTTCCAAAGACTTCAAATGTGGATGGAGATCAGACTGTCCAGCCCTGACTCTGGGGGATGATGTCAGTGACCAGATCCAGAAACCTGAGGTCTGGGTTTGCTCTGTCCTCTTCTTCTCAGGCAGGTGAGGAACCCCAGCAGAGTAACATTCTGCCCTCTACAGTAGCACTTCCCAGGCTCCAGAGGGAGGCCAAGTCCTGGCCAGGAGTCAAGCACATTGTGTGCAGATGCAGGTTCAAGGGGAGCTGATGCCAGTCTAGGGGAGCTCCCAGCTGCAAGGGCCCTCTTGCCTGCTGCCTGCCTCCCAGTTCCTGGGAAGCCCCGCATCTGCCCCATTTGCCTTGGCTCCCTCGGCTGGGCTAAGCCCCACACCTTCCTCCAACCATCATGAACTGTAGGGAGGATACAAGAAGCATGTGGGTGGTTTCTCCTCTAGAAGGAAGGTCTGGCGGGATCTCTGCACAGATGGTGGCCAATAGAGAGGACGACTAGGGGAGGGGAAGCCACCAGGCAGAGACAACTCTGTCATCCAAAAAACATGCCTCACCAGCACTTTTCCAATCCAGAGGATTAGAAAATGGAATGCTTTCAGACCCAAGAGAGCCCTTCCAACTATCTTCACTAGGTTTCCCCAGTAACTAGCTAGGGAGTGACGTCATGGTCACCTCTAAGGTGATCTGGTTGCTTCCCCTGCTGAGAGTGAAGGGGGCGGTCTTAATTGCTATGTAATACCAGGGATAACATGGGCTCTGCTTCCATAAACAGCAGCTTTCAAAATAAAAAGGAGGGCTGGGTTGCAGCTCAGAGGTATGGCATATGCTTAACATGTACAAGACCTTGGGTTCTATCCCCAGCACTTCACAAAACAAACACCAACCAAAAAGATAACCACAGGGGAAACACAACCAAATGTGCAGACAGACTGGGCTACTCCAGTCCACTATTAGGATTTTCTAGTTTTCCACATCTAGTGTCCTAAGGGTTGGGGTTCCACACAGAATTCTTACCATCCCTGAAAGTCAGATGCTCATTTTCAGAATTTAATTTTGAAGATCAAGAACTTAAAAAAAAAATCACGTTCTACAGGCTGTTAACATCACAGGGAACTTACCTCCGGAGAGGGGCATTTTCCTCAATATCTTCCAGGGTCTCCAAAGATGATCTCTGGGAGATGAGGCGACGTCTGCAGAGAGAGGAAAAAAAAAACTTATGAGTTAGTCCAGCATGGTCAAAGTTGATCAAACAACTGTGTACATCTGTAGTTATCTGAAAAAAATAAAAATCCATTGAGTAAAAACAAGGAGCTGGTGAGACACTTCAGTGGGTCCCAAGTTCTATCCCTAGAAACCATGTAAAGGTGGAAGAGACTCCACAAAGTTGTCCTCCAAGCTCCACATGTGCACTGTGACACTTGTGTACCCGCCCCCAACAAAATAAAATAAAACAAAAGTACAAGGTCAGACAAAAAGCTGTCTTTAAAGAGGTTGCTGTGTCTCCACGCTGAGGGATGCCAAGCACGTGCTGCCTTGCCACATGGTGAACATTCTTGGTGGTTACAGGGTCTCTTTGTAGTGATTACAGAAGTGGATGACCCATTTCAAACTTCAATTGCCTCCACAAGACAAAAAAAAGTTGCTTCTTGTAATATACAAGATAACTTGGGCATTGTGAAGTTTTTCTCAACATTAGTAATAATATTGAGAATTCAAACATCGGTGCTTTGAACTAGGCAACTGATAAATGTTAAATTTTGAAAACATTTTAAAACTTTGTGTATGTATATCTATGCGTATGTGTGTCTTCATGTATGGGGGTGCATGTGGGCATGCATGTGTAGAGGGCAGAGGACAACCTCAGGTGCTGTTCCTTGGGAGCCCATCCATCTTATTTTTTGAGATGGGGTCCTAAGGGTCCCTCATAGGACCTAGCCTTATGGATTTGGCTGTGCTGGGTTGGCAATGAGCTCTAGGGACCCTCCTGTCTCCACCTCTCCAGTGCTAGGAATGACAGGGGCATGCCACAATTCCCAACTTTTAACACGGGTCTGCTCCTCATGCTTGTGTGACAAGCATTTCACTGACTAACCTTACTTTTAAAAATGTTGAAATTACTAGGATGCCATTAAAAAGTTACAGTCTCAGGAAGGCCATGCCATTTGAAAAGCAACTGGAAACAAAAATCATTCTTTGCAGATAAGTCTCAGAAAGTGGCGAGAATAAATATTCAGCATGATCGTACAAAACAGTAACTTTACTGGGTTGCCACGGAATTGCATACCACCTGCCAAAACCCCCTCAATCTAGTTTTCTTTGCCAGGCTGAAATAAGAACAGGTCCTAGTTAACTCAGAATATCTTGTATAGATGGAGCAGGGATGGGTGGTGGTGACATTAAATAAACCCATTTGAATAAAGATCATTCATTTGAGAGCAAATGATTTGGGGGAGAAGGGTGGATAGAAAAGTTTGACAGCATCTTTGCCTTAAGAAAATGAAGCTAAATGTAAAAGCTGATTTGTTTACTATGTTTGACAAAATTTAGGTTAAGAGCATGCTAATTATAACCATGTTCTAGATTGTTCTAAAGAACAAAGATGTAGCTTCTGTTTATTTATTACTTCTCTCAGTGTGCATGTATGTATAATTTTGAACTATTCCAATATTTTGTTTTGTGTTTTTATTTTATGTGCTATGTAAAAAACACGAATGCTTTTTGCCTGCATTTATGTAAGTACATTGCATGTATGCAATGGCTGTGGATGCCAGAAGACAGCGTTGAGTCCCCTGGAACTGGAGTTAAGGATACTTGTTAGCTGACATGTGGGTGCTGGGAACTGAACCCAGGACCTTTTTAAGAGCAGCCAGTGCTCCTAACCTCTGAGCCACCTCTCCAGCTCTATGTTTTACTTGGGAGGGGGTTTCTTTTTGAAACAGGGTCTCTCTGTAGCCCCAGCTGGCTTGGAACTCACTATGTAGACCAGGCTAGCCTTGAACTCAGAGATCCGCCTGCCTCTGTCTCCCAAGTACTGGGACTAAAGGCGTGTGCCACCATGCCTGGCTATATTTTACTTTTTAATAAAACAACCAGGAAGGTCCTTTTTAAAAAAAACAACAAAACCAAAACCAAAACCAAAAAAACAACCTATTCAATGGTTTTGGCAATTTTCCAAGAGCCTTTCTTAACTTCTAATATTCAAATCCTTTAAAAAAAACAAAAAACAAAAAACCACTCTTCATATATCCTGATTCTGTTTCTCTCTCAGTATAAACTGAGCTAGTTTTCGCAGATCCTCATTCACCAATCTGTGCATGAACTAGTTTCCCAACAGTACTGCCTCTGTCTTGGTGACATGCTGGACCGGCCACAGGATCTACAGCTTTACTGTGTAGTTAACTAACATTGAACTTTCATCTGTGCAGTACTGCTAGGTCCCCAAAGGTCAGTGAGGCCTGTAAGAGACACAATGGTCTTACTTGGGAATGATGTAAAGGGGAGGTAAGGGGGTACAGAAATTATTTTAAAAGTAGTCAATCCATTAGGGAACAGCACATCAATGTGTAAACACTAATTCTAAGAACTCAGGTCTCTAAACCCCTGTGATAGCATCCTGCAACCATGCATATCTATACTGTCAGTTAAGACAGTGTCTTTGAAGTCTCAGTTAATCCTTAAGAAAGCTGGCAAGTGAAGTCCAGTCTCTCCAGTGCTGGGGCTGGCTGGTCCAGAGTCCCAGGCTGGGATTAGAACAATACAATACACCCTAACCCTAGCCCACTGCATCTCTCAGCAGCAAGTGTCCCTCTCCCCCTACCCCCAGCCGCATGATTATTCAAAAGGGCATGCCTAGGTATCAAGGATGGGGCCTTAAAAAGCTAACCTTAATCCTTGAGTCTCTGTTTTCTCATTCTATAAAATTAGAAAAACCAGACTTGTGAGATAGCTTAATATTTAAGAGAGTATACAGCTCTTGCAAAGGACCTGAGATAGGTTCTCAGCACCCATGTCAGGTGGCTCACACCACCTGTAACTCCAGTTCCAGGGGATCCAAAGCCTCTGGCCTCCAGGGGCACTTGTAGTCACACGTACACACACATAATTGAAAATAATAAAAACAAAATTTAAAAAATGGAAATAGAGGCCGGGCATGGTGGCACATGGCTTTAATCCCAGCACTGGGGAGGCAGAGGCAGGCAAATCTCTGTGAGTTCAAGGCCAGCCTGGTCTACATAGTGAGTTCCAGCTCAGCTGAAGCTACAGGGAGACCCTGCCTCAAAAAGAAAAAAGAAAAAGAAAAAAAAAGGAAATAAAAAGTCTGACTGTTCAGCTTTGACCTTCTTTTCCAATCCCCAATGATAGTCACTCAAAAATGTCGATCTCCTGTTCCACACCTGAACCCACTTTACATGTAACTAAGTCCATATTTATCTATGACAGGGCACTCTGGGGAGCAGAAAGACTTGCTGGTGCTCTGGCCACCTATAGAGTTGGTGCCCACCCCAGCCTCCTTGCCCTGCTTTACCACTCACATCTCCTCAACAATGGAAAAGGAGTGTATCTCTGGGAACATTCTGGGCCTTTAAAATTGGAAGTAAAACAACAAGTGTGCATACCTAAACTTCCACTAGAGACAACATAGCCACAGGCAGAAATAAATGTATAATTTCAGATGCCAGAAATCTCAACCAAGTCTCTCATTCTCTGAGCCTCCCTTTGTAGAACAGCACCAGTGAATGGTGCTTTTTTGAATGAGCCATCAGATGGCTCATTTCAGGTGACCAATGAATAGTGCTTTGTTGAATGAGCCATCAGATGATGCAGTGATTGTACCACTTGAGGATGGGTCCTCCCACAGTTGCCTTGAGCAGGTCCCCTGCAAACTCTGTGGTCACCACTCAAGCAGCAAGCCTGCCCAATCCAGGCCCCAGCAAAGCCCAGCCAGGTTCATCCTCTGAAGACACCCATGTTTGCCCACCTAACCAGTGTCACTCAGGCCTGGCCTGCTGGGGCACAAGGCCTGCCAAGCTTGATTCCTTTTTTCTAGGGGCTTGCATTCAAATGGGACCATTAGAAATAGGACCATTAGAACCCTCCAAGTCTCATCATCTTTTGAGACTTTCCTAGGAGCAGAATGGCAGCACGGAGAGCATCCATAAATCCCACTGAACTAGGAACACCACATCCCCAGCTTCTCCATCATCCAGAGTAGGTTTTTGCCCTAGAATGCCAAGCCTGTCCATAAAAGCATAGATTACAGTGGTGCCCCTATGGAAAAGCTGTAACTAGAGTGGATCTCCCTACACCAGCAAAGAACGGTGCTTATTATTTGGAATATAATCAAATTAGAATATATCTTCTATACTGTTACATGAACTTGTGGTTTTGAAGAACAGCACACTAGATATTTTCCTCATGGACTGAACAAGTGTAGAGTCACACACATGCATGATTTCAGAATAAATGTTCCCGTGGTCCCTAAAATGCTCATATTGGAATCCTAATTTCCAGTATGATAATATTAGAAGTGTAGACTCTGGGAGGTAATTAGGTCATGAGGGAGGAACCCTCAAGAATGGGATTAGGGCCCTTTCAATAAAAGGACCCCAAAGAGTTTTCCCTTTCTGCCTCACACAGACATGTGGAAGTCAGTAGTCTGTAATCTAGAAGAGTGCTCTCATCAGAACAAAGCCAGCAGCCCGATCACAGATTTCCAGCCTCCAGAACTGTAAGGTAAATTTAATTTATTTAGATGCCATTAGTTACAGCAGCCCAACTGAGATAGACAGATGGAGAGACACAGACAGACAGGCAGACAGACAGACACACACACACACTCTCTCTTAAGGCTTCAATTCTCTAAAGGGGGGAAAACCCCTAAATGGTCACCTGTTCCTTTAAATTCAGTGGATGTACTTCCCTTGTCAATGAATAGAACCAGACAGAATATTCTTTGAGATGGAGATACACAATCCAGAAACAACTACTAGTCATTATCAAGAAACTGTAACATGGTGCCATGATGATGCCTGTCTTTCCTCAGATGAGATGAGGACCTGTTTGTTGCCACAAGGGTGTGGTAGTATTCATCTCCACCCCCCTTACCACCATGCTAGATCCTTCCAAGATATGTAGTAACGTCTTTCCCCTCACCTTCTACCCTCAGGAAGCCTGTGTGAATGTGGTGGCT